GCTCTTCCATGTTTTCAAGAAGGAAGACCATTCATCTAAAAAGAGAAACTGAGCTTTACTGTCCCATCAAAAAGAGAACAGCATGTCTCATCAAAAAGAGAACACCAGCATTCTTAAAACCAAGAGGAAAAACACTTTACTGACTATCAAATGAAAACATCCTGGTAATAACTTACCCCAGCTAGGCAACAGTACTATCTTTTTATAACAGGGAATTATATAATACAAAATCTATTAGTATTAACTTCTGCATGGAAAGAAGCAAAGCAACTTCTATGCCACAGAAAAAAGCACAAATGAGTTCCCTTCATTACTCATAGAAGTAACTTCCAAATCAGTATTATGCAATGGTCATACAGTGTCAGTAAATACAGACAGAACCAGCCCACACCACTTACTTACTACAGCTTTTTAGAAAGAGGGCTCCATGTATTTACATAAAGATACACCTGATGAAGTTTTGTTAGTCAGCTGCCAAATGCAGTATGTACATTTTGTTGGAAATAGCACTGGAGCTGGATGTACCACTGCATTTCTTTCCCTTCATTAATCCGATCCAAAGAACAGGTAAGTACAGTAGATAAGTATGCTGAATTTTGAACAGTATAGCTGAAGTATTTAAGTATTACATAACACTAAAACAGCCTATTAAAATATCTGCTGAAGACCTCACCATTCATCAGCTTACTGCATTCATTTTATAATTAACACTTTGGCAGGAAGTATTATTTCAAAATAAAAAGTGTTTCAACCACACACAAGGATCCTTAATAGCTTAAAAAGGCAGTATCTGCACCTTGGAAGCGATCCACCAACACAGCACTAAGATTTTTAAAGCCAAGTCACATAACTTGAAGCATAGCAATTCAGTCCCATCAAAATTCTTTACTATTTAAAGATAAATTAGTTTACTGTGCATATTATTATTAAAACATTGTATTATACTATGTTCCAGCTTCTGCTACCAGCATCCTGAAAGAAACCTCAAGTCGGGATGAGGTTTGAGTCAACTCAAACCAATTCTCCCTTTAAGCTAAACACCATCCTCCTGCATCTACACAAGGAGGAATAGTTTTATGTTACTATTTAATTGATTTAATTATCTGTTATTTGACAGTCATTTATACCTATGTTCATCAGAGATATATTGCCATACAGTGCCAAACTGGGGAGGTGCCATTTCTAGCAGACAAAGAGGGTTTTGTAAAGGATTTTGCAAAGACAGACATTCCTCAAAAGCATGGCTCAACTTCCACCAGCGTGTGAAGGAAGAAATATTTTGACTGTTTCCCAGTAAACAAGCACAGCACGGAACAAAGCCAAACCTGCTGCATTTCTTAACTTCTTCCACTCCTTCTAAACCATTCAAGCCATCGGCTAAATAAAGCTGAATTTCTTTTAAAGCTTATGGCAGTGATTTTAATGCAAATCACTGAGATAAAAAAGAAGGCGGCTAGTCTATCTCCTGTCCCAGCAGAGAATTTACTCCTCTAGAGAAGATGGGGACTTTGCTGTTGGAACAAGACCATTGTGAGTGACACCAGGAGACCATGACAACAAGCACTACTGGGGCCACTGTTTTGGAAGCAGAGGGCAAGGAGGCAACAGCAGCCACACATCCAGTGTAGCAGGATGGATAAGGAAACCTGACACAGTCATTGTAGATGTCACCTCCCTCACCAAACTACTGCAAATATGTTGTTGGATCATTTAATGTTCACTCATCCATTCACCATTTTCCATCATAACATTAAAAGAAAAGCAAACAGGTTACCTCTCTTCTTCAGAAAAAGATATAAAAGGCTGACAGCACTCCATGATTTCAGGTTTGTTATCAGAATCTTATGAACAGCAGCATAAGCCAGTGGAGATAAGTGGAGAGAGACAGCATGTATCTTTCCCTTAGAACTTCACTACCTGACTGTCACAATGTAAACGGTATTTTGAATCATCAATAGTTTTTGGCAGTTGTGTTTTATTTGGGGTTTTGTTTGTTTAGGCTGATTTGTTTGTTTTAATCCTGCAACTCGCATGCATTGAAAATAAACCACCAAAGAGCTGCTTCTGAGCGATTCTTCTGCCCAAAAAATAATATATATCTATCTAACATAATATATCTAACACAATGCTTTTTTTTGAAAGTAGTAACTTGTAACAAATACAAGAGTTGCAAGTAACCTTAACACCCCAAGATAAAGACCATGGCTCTGTACAACTGCACAACTGAAGCTGGAATAACCATAGGATTGAAAACCTGTACAGTTACATGAAAGCTGTCTGGGATAAACAGGGAATATATAAATGAATGTCACTGCTGAAAGAACAATTTGCAGTCATTAAGATGACAGCTCCACTCCTGAATGTGAAAAAAAACATAGCTACAAATACATAGTAGGTAGTCAGCTTCTTATTCTTCTGTTTTAAATTAAATTTATATTAATTTTATTTATTTGTTTTTCAACAGAATGGTATTCACTGCGTAGGTTTTTTGTGAACAGCTCTACTCAGCTGTTATTTACAACTATCTTACTTTCCTAGTAGCAAGGTGAGAACTAAGATAATCTAAGCAAGCCAGAGATTTTGGCCTCTGCTCCTGGGAGAGAAAAATTATATAGGAAGTGCTAAAAGAACAATGAGGCAAACCAAGTTTTGATAGCAATACAAATTCAGGATCTCTGTTCTTCCCAAACTACCACTGGACTTGCCACAGGATCATCTCAACCATTTTTTGTTGTGTTATTCCAACAAAGAACTATAACATTAAACACGAATTAGATATCCACCTCTTGCTCTCAAACGTGTGATTCTGTACGGTGATACTGAACTGGCACACACAATGGAAAAGTTTAGGAATTAGGAATGCTACATGTCAAATAGTTATTTTCAACAAGAAAAAGGAAAATAATTACTGGACTGGCCCAGTTAAACAACAAAAAACCCCAAAACCCACAAACCAACAGAAGATCTAATTCTAGAAAAAGAGACCAGCAAGGAGAGCAGGAAGTCCACATTAGGGCAAGCTTCCTTTCTGTCAAAATCTCAGCATCACTGGCAAGGGTTAAATTAAAACAGTATTTCTTTCAAACAGTAAGTTATGCAGGGAAGCTGGCCAGATTTGCAACTACAAAACCGTGATGAGGAGAACTTAAACAGAACAGTTGAAACAACTGAAGACAATGATGCTTTACAAACTTGCCTTAGGAGACAAATCAAGGAAGTTATCAGAAATCCTTCCAATCTTTGTTAGCACTGTTTCAGTCAGGTAATTAAAGAACACAAAGAACAAAAGAAAACACCGTGATTGCTGCTATACTTGTAAGAGACCCTGGTTTGAAATAAAAACTTAAGACAACTTTATAATAGTGTCTATAGTATCTAACCTACCATAACAAAAGCTTCATTTAAATGTTCTTGTCCAACAGAAAAAATCTCTTTACAGACAAATACAGTGGAGAAAAATACTCTCAAGACCTTTTCCCTAAAGCTTTACAAATTACAGTTGGATCATCTTGATTTATCAAGATACAAGAGTGGATCAAAGATTTTTCTAAACATGAGACATTCATGAAATTTCTTTACTTGTATCTTTCATTCATAATATTTTCTGGCATGAATACAGCTGAATTTACACCACAACTGCATGTATTATCTGCTGGCTAATAAATGAGTTGCTTCAGGCGCTTTTCCCTGGTAAGGACGCTTAATTTTGTTCTCTCCTCAGCCCCATTTTCACAAAACCACAAGATGCCCAGAAATATCAGTATCTATCAAGCATGGGTGAAACTGGCCAAAGGATCAAAAGAAATCATTAAAAACCCCCAGACACATAAACAATGTGGCTATGTAGCATCACTTCCAATCCCTAAGAAACTTACCCAGTTGCAGTATCATGACTGTATCATTCAAGGCATGTGTCACCAATCCAAAATGTCTGTACAGGGGATAGCACAGCACTCTTCTTCCAAAAGATACCAGGACGTCATGAATGCTAGTGAAACTCTGTGTATATCAGTGAAAAATGTGAATTAGTCCGTGTGCTTTTCTATACAAAGAATTAGGTCTTTGTTTGTTTTCCTTTAAGAAAAAAAGTCACAGCAGAATTAAAAAAAAAGGGAAAAAAAGCACATTTTAATATATTACGAATCTAAAAACTTGTATTTTAATAGATATGGAAATCAACATGTTAAATAGAAACAAGACACTGCAGATTTAGTTTGCATGGCAGGTTAACTGAAGCCCTGTATGTTTTAGTGGTTTTGAATTAAAAAAGGAATGTAAAGAACATTAGAATAAAACATCTAACTCAAGCCTTTGCCATCCTTTAGATTAAAGCAATATATTACATCTGTCCCACATTATTACATATATTATGGGGAAGCTATAAAAAGCCTTTTAAGAATAAAGAAAAATTAAAACCACATGATATTAACAAAATACATGTGTACATGTAAGATCTTTAAAAATGATACATGACTTTGTCTTTCATGAAAATTACAGATATTTGAGACAGGGATAAATAAACCTGCTCAGGGAAAGCAGTTCACTGTCCTTCTTTACAAGTGAGGAAGACTCAAATTTACACAGGCCAGAGGCATTAAGAGAGTGATTTCCTTTCCAGCTTTCACTTTTCAAGACAAAATATTCCATTTCTGAATTCAAATCAAAATACCTATTTCATCTTGAACCTCAATTTATTCAAATTAATAAAAATGCTTTGCTGACAGCCAGCACTTTTTTTGCATTATAGAACTACCTCAACCCATTTTTCATTTTAATGGAGCACTGGTAAGCATTTAAATAATTTATGTTTTGTTATTTAATATTTAGACTCTAAGGTGTGTACATGTCACACACAGCAAAATGGCAGTCAGTTCAAACAAACCATAGCTGAGGCAATTTTGTTTACAGATTGATGAAAACACCCGCCTCTACATGGTTTGTAGAACAGATATAGTTATTAACAGCTTGGTGCCAGGAGACTGAATTTTCTGGGTGTGAAATATACTGTTGGCACAGACTGCACTAAGAACTTAAATATTATATATTATAGGATAAGCACATGCAGAAAACTCCTTCACTATGCTAGGACGTGGATCTGAAAAGAATTCAAGACTCAAGAAAATCACTGCGCTTTAACTGCACTCCTTTGTGACTTCAGAATACTCAATGGAAACAAAACAGATCTAGAAAACCACAGAACTGAACGTAACATTCACCACCACAAGAAATGTTTGAAGGACTGAATCCAAAAATCCTGTCAAATTTCATTTTTCATCCTGCAGACTGAGATTGGACTCAGTAATATTAGGAATGAAGATGGGACAGTCCTTTCTAGCTTGCTGACATCGTAAGAAACAGTCGATTACAGGCCAGGTTAAGTCCTTTCCATTTCCAGCTCTGTAACAACTTAATGACACAGTAAACAACATGAAAGTGCAAAGAAGAGAATTCAGTTCGTTTCCTCTAGTCTATGTTGGTTTCAAAGGGCTAGCAGCAACTAAACAGGGACGTGACAACAATGCTGCAAAGAAGGGGTCGGGTAAAGCAACAACATACGACCACTAACTGCAACAAACCTGAAACAAAAGTATTTAGCATCTAAAAGATCACACAATCATTAAACCCTGAGATAACAGTTCTGCAACTACAGAACCGGTTCTGCTACAAGAATATGGAATTCGGAATTCAGCTTGTCCATGACAGGCGATGAGAAAAAGAACGACCAACCACCTTTTGAGTTGTAAGAGCTTTTCCTACCACTGGCTTTCTATTTATGTCTGGGCTTTCCAGTTCTGCTCTCCCAACATATTCTGAAGCCACACAGCAGAACTGAGAAGAAGCCCGAAGGGGCCTGATTTTCAGGCAAGAAAAAGAGTGAGCTAGAAGTGCAGAATAATGAACTAGGAAGGCTGAAGAAGAGCTCAGCAGTCAAAAAACCCAGAAATGAACACTAAACTACTTTATCAAGGCCTGCCATCTTTAAAACTTAGTAAAACATGTATCTGAGGTAGGACGTAAAGGACACGAGAACACTAAGAAATTACATTCCCTGCTTTTTATGCCCTTGATAATGCCCTTTCTATTTTAAGATGCTTTAGACAATTAAATAGGAAGATATCTGACTTCTGATCAAGGAGCTAGGCAGCTACATTTTCTTGCCCTAAGCATGGAGTTGCACACACGTATGTGAAGATTAACTACAGTTACTTCCTAAATAAAGGTCAGAACTTATTAATCAAGCCCAGGAGCTTGGGACAGTGTGTGGATAAGCGGCTTTTCTGTAGTGCCTATCCTCAGCTTTTCCAGAATGGGCCAGAAGCACCCAGACAGATGAGAGGTCATACACGAGCCTGTGGAGGGTGGTAGTAGTGGGAAGTCACAATCAATTTCTCATAACATCTATTAAAAAGAGGACATATACTTAATTCACCTTCATGCAAAAGCAACATCCACTACCAAAGCCAAACAATACAGCAGACAGATAAAGCAAAACTCAAGTTTTAACTTACCTCCAGCCAGCACAGTGTTGCACTCAGTTTCCTTATGTTCCAAGACGATTCAACCTGATGTTAAGAGGAGACCTTAAAACAAGCATTACCTAATTCAACATTCAAGACTGCTGGCAAACTATTCAAGATAACATTCTGGCAGCAATTTAAGAACCTTTGTGAATATGAAGCAGCAATTATTTTATGTGCATTGAAATAGCCACAAGACAGCATTAAAAATTATATTGCAATGCAGATGTTAAATAACTGAATTGGTTTCCATATTGGGAATATCTAGCATATGCAGAAAGCCTTTTTAATACAAGAGCAATCACAGAAAAACAGTATTTTAGTGGAATTCTGTCCCTTTTCACCAAGCAACAGAAACTTGATTCAACGAAGCTCAAGCTCAAACACCTTGTTTCGTGAAAACAGCTCAAGACTCTGGCTTTCAGAGAGGCTCCTAAAGCCAGCAGTACATGTAAAATGTCATTACAGATTCATAGTATTTGTGTGGTAGTGTGGTCTATTGGGATGATTAGGGCAAAAAGCCAGGAAGCCCTGGCCCTAGTAAAGATCTGTATGGCCTGAATGTCTTGGAGGGGTGTGTATGTGTGTAAAGAAATAAAAGAGGAAAAAAGACTACAGTGTGTTTTCCACATATACCACACAGCTATTGCAAAGGCCACTAAAGGATTGTACAATTGTATTCCTTGTGTATTTGCAGTTCTTACACAATACAACCATCCTAGATTATTATGTTGAATAAACAGGTCTGGACGTTTCTGCCATTCTAAAATCCATGTCCCACACTTGTGTCTGATTAAGACAGAACGGTTTGGATTATATGTTCTAATATTTGATTAAAAGCATTTGAGAAAACACTGTATTGGTTAATATCAGCAGAGGAGATGCCAGGCACAAAGCTGTATCTGGAAAGTGAGTCCATTTTAAAAAGGCGAGCTGCCCACAGCACAGCATGGAATCCATCCTAAACTTCCACTGTTCTCTTAATTCTTTATATCCTGTACAAAGCCTGAGATACAGAACATAAAGTAAAGCTGGCTGCTGCTTGTGGAAGAGATGGGCAACCAGCAGAATGCTGAAAATGGAAACATGCCTTCCTACCTCCCTGAGTGTTTGAACACTAGAAACAGAATACTCTGCATTAGCATTTTATTATTATTTTTTTTAATGTGTGCCAATTCTAAAAGTTTTAAACACCTCACTCTGGTTTCCAGAACGCCCAGGAAACACCTTCCATGCTCTGTGATAAGCTTAAAAAAAAGATACCCACCAAAAAAATAACTCTTGAAAAAAAAAAAATCAGTGTTGTTAAAGGCATATAATGGTAGCCTAACACATAGTTTCAGTCCTACAGACAACGATTTCCCATGCTTTTTCAGAATCCAAAGCAGTAGTGGTATTACTACACATACCCGGTTGTAATAATGCCTATTATGTTGTAACTCCCTATTATGGAACTGTCCAAACCACAGAAGGAAGAACCACTGATGTAAAAGAGCAATGATTTTGTGAAGTCTAAATTTACATACATCAAGACACATCACAACACAACACAAATCAGAAACAAACAATTGTCTGGAGTCTCCTGCAACTGCAGTTCTCTTCTACAGCTAAAATGCTGCTCCAGAAGAAGAGAAGTATTTAGAAATCATATTAATCTCAACAGCTCAATCTAGAGATATAAAGTCTTTCATTTTAACTTAATTACATATTTTTAATGCTTGGAAGTAAATATACTTTAAAAGGTAAGTTTCCTAAATGACAGTGAAGAGTCCAGCAGTAGCTTCCTAAAACTCTTTTTGACTTACATTCTTTTCTCCTTCATTGACACAGATTTCATAGCAATAGGCCAGAAGGATATCAATTAAACCAAGATACACATGGTGACGGCTTCTTTTATCCAGAAGGTAAGATTTATTTGTGAACTTTCTCAGCTGCTCTCTCTCTTCCTCAGAGAAGACAACTATAAAAAGTCAAAGGATAATTGATTATGAATTTAAAGCTGGAACATTCATTTTAACAGGTGGTAATACTACTTAAACAGTCTCTTTAAAAAGAAGCTAACTTTAAAAAGTGTAACTAATCACGAGTCACTCATCACTCAGGAAAAGCCTAAATCATTCTTACTTTCATTTTTAACTTTTATTAAACTCTGACATGTTCCTTTCAAAGTCAGCTTCCAGCCCTGCAATGTACTGCATGTACCCACTCCAAAAGTGCCAAGGATTTCTGTGGACACCTGGGTATCTTATCAGAGATAAATGCACAATTAGGATCTGAGTAAATTTAAGTCCACATTGTATGGGATAAAAATAAGAAAACAGGATAAAAAAAACCCAACGTATTTTTTCTTATTGTGGAAAAGGGTAAGAACTTAAGAAATAGGGAAGGTGAAAAAAGGAAAGGTACTGTTCCGTATTTCCAAGACTCATCAATTTTGACTCATGACCTAGGAGCTTCATTTATGCTGTGTGATAACATCATTTCAGCATCTGAGGAAAATTAAGAAAGATCAAAATCCTACTCCCACCAATGTTGGTATGAAAGCTGTATCTCCTTCCAAAGAGTTATGGTATACTCCATAAGTGATTGTCGTACTTTGCTTATCTTCAGTATTTAGAGCCAGTCCCAAGAATCTTCTCACCCAGTACTTTCTCTTCAAGATGCATAAGGAAGACAACAGCAACACAGGAGGCATGCTGTGACAATGCATCAAAGTATTTCTTTAGAAAGAGTGGTATAGGCACATGTAGTTAGGATTGAATATTGCATGGTAACTCTTCTGAAGAGTACTTCAAACACTTCAGAAAGGATGGCAGAAGTGCCTTGAAATAACAGTAGAGATTAAGTAGATAACTGACAAGAAGCCAGCCCTGTACAAACTCAAGTAAATCAAGAAGCCATTTAGTTCAATTAAAACAGCCAGAAGCTAGAGGTAAGAGATTTTCAGCCAGGCTGCATGGAGCGCAAGCATTCCATGTCAGCAGGCTCCGATTCACAGAATAGGACAGATGTAGTGAGCACATTTTGGTCATACCACAGAAGAAAGTTACAGGCACATCGTGACTTGACAGGAGAGACATGTTACTAGCTTGACAGCTGATGCTTTGCTGCAGTGAGGAAGTCGCACTCCACAATTTCTTCAAGCACCAGTAACACTGGAAACAGCCTGAGTTTAAAATACCATGACTGAAGGAGATCTCTCTAAGGACAGGAACAAGTCTAATACAGCACTCTTGTCACATGTTTAAAAGAAACCCTAAGTGCAGGAGTAGGAACATGATGTATCCTTACCTCACTGAATTTTAATTATTTGTTCTAGGGGGGGACAAAACCAAAACCTTACAGTTAACACTGAAATCTCTCTTCAGTTATACTTTACTACCCCTTGAGGCACTGCGTTACGGCACTCACCCGAGGACAGAGAAAAGCTGTTGGCAAGATGTACAAACTTTAAAGTGTAAACCAATTAATGGTTAACACTAAGCTGAGGATGTGGATACTATTAACATGTTCATCACCCTGACAAAGCACCTGAGGAGTCCTTGCTAGACTGGCAGGCAGCTGGGAAGGGTAAACCTTTGTGGTTCCGAGACAGATCCTTGAGTATTGCTGAGCCACCATCTTTCACCTCAACTTGATTCCCTGCTTTTCCAATTTAGGCTTTTATATGTTCCACATTGGTATTTACCTGTGGAATCCTTGAGCTACTAATGATCATGTCTCAACAATCCTACCTGCAATTGTACTGTTCCTGTTTTCCTGCAGACTTTCTCACAGCTCCTTCCCAGCAGCATAAGCCAAGGTCACACAGTTGGGTGCAACCCAGAATCCAGAGCCCTGGACCCTGGGACACAGGCAGCTAAATCCCTGGGGGATTGTGGGATGTTACAGCATGGGTTACAGACAAAAAAAGGGTTACAACTCTTAGTAAATCAAGTTCCTTTTTACAGCCCTTGCCCGTTTCTCTAGCATAAGGACAATGATTGCATGCATGCTTATAGATACATCTTCTCAAACATTGCTCATCATCGTTTTACACAATCCACATGCTCAGGGATACAGTCTGCCTTTAAGACATGTGAGCTTCTTTATCCCAGGAACTTTCTACAAGCTTTCTAATTTTATGATGTGTTTTGAAACAAATGTCTGTGATGCCAAAGGCACGTACATATGCACACACTTCATCTCAAGACATAAACTTATGAATTAGGGAAAACATTGTTGAACGTTTCTTCTTTGTGAACTTTTAAAATGTTTCTACCAGCTTCATAAACATGAAATACTTGATTTAAATGTCTATGGAAAGTTCTTGTGAGCTAAACATTTCTCTGGAGTCAAGCCAGTCTACATTTATTTATAAGCTCCCACAAAAAGAAGTTCCAACTTCTATATTATCTTGAGAAAGCCAATCTCTCCCACTTGCTATGAGCTCGTACAAAGTGACAATTTAGCAAGACTACAGCAGTTTTAACTGTTTTCCTGTTAATGCAATGCAGTTCAGTATTACCCCTTACACCACAAATACACATGATTTATCTATGTTGTATCAGCAATTGTTTTAGAAGTTCTTAAATCACACTGATTCTTCTGCAAGTCACCTCTATCACTCACATTAAAATTATTCATAAAACCATACATGCAATGTTGTAGCACATTTGAAAAACACAACATCAAACTACTTTGTAAGTTGCTACAGTAGGGTGGGTTTAATAAGGTATCACAACAGGGCGTTTACAGTTATAAGGTCCAATTGGAAAGAAAAAAGGCATTTCCAATTTCAGCAAGCTTCCACTAGAAAACCCTCTCCTGGAATACAACACAATTTATTATACAAATATATGCAAGTGGCACTTTCACCCTGAAGAGAAGCACAAAAGAGGAGAGGTGAAATAGAAGCTAAAGATGCGAAAGAAATAATGAGAAGTGAACAGCCGAAAGTTTGTTAGCAAAGACTACAACAGCACTTCAGTCAAACCACTTCAAATCACTTCTGATGACTGCAGTAATGAAGATTGTTACAAAGATGGAATTTTTAAAGTTTTGCTAACAAGTATTTGCTAGATTCCCTAAAATCCACACTGTGAAGGAATACGTAACTGTGATCCATACCTTCCTTATAAACAGAAAGCAAAACAACTCCAAGTGAAGTTCACCAAACATAGGAGATGAAGTTTTCTTCCTCCAAAATGCAAACTTTCTGAAGCATCATAACTGGACCATAAACACAGAAACTGCAAGTCGTCTATAGACAGCAGCATCAAGATGTAGACTAGACAACTCCAAAGGTAAATGTTACAAGATGTTCATTAACTCACTGCAAAGTGCTTGGCATTCTAAATAAAATTTATCTCTCTGGAGAAAACACTTCAATTTTACAAATAGGTAACCATCCATTCCTTAAAGTTTTTGAACACTAAATTATCCAGGCCTGAAACTCATTATTAGCATGCCAAAACCACCGTCTACTTTGTTTTCCCAATTCAAAAATACAAGTACATACTATAAGACTAACAAGTAAAATTGTAATATTGCATTTTCTGCTATATTAATTCAGCCTGTTCATTCTTGTACTCTTGTGTTACCAATGTTTTAACAGTATCTGTACAATATTAGTCTAGTGCAAAGCAGCATCTGCTGCTCCTTATCAAGTACTGAATTTGCAAGTTTCCGTAAGATTTATTTTTAAATGTTTGGTACATTTGTCAGTGCCAATATCATGCTCCTTCTAGCCACAGTATAACAGTGTATTAATATATGCATGTCTAAAGGAATCAGACAAATTAATCTCCCATCCAAAATTACTGATAGATGATACAACAGAGATTAGCCTTACTTTTTAATCATCTCCTCCACTTACTCTAAACTGGCCATTCCTCATGTTAAACATATTTCAAATTGCCCTTCAGTACCCAACTGTCAATGAAGTACAGTCTAATCTCTAAAGGGGAGGATGAGGTCTGACAGCCGGAGGGTGTTTTGTTATGGTCTTACTGATGTTTTACCCAGCCGATAACATCACTTAAACCAAGCCAGTGTAAGATCCGTATCTCAAGACTACTATGACACTTATGGTTCTAAATATGTTAAGGGCACTTAGATAAAATGTGCTATCTGGACAGAGAGCTGACTTAGTGGTCAGACTCAGGAAATTACAACAAAGTATAGGTCAGGAAGAAGCTGGGATAATCAGCTGGTCCAGCCTTCTGGTGAAAGAAGAACCTTTGCTTATGGTCCTGTCGAGCCAAGTTGTGAATTCCAGAGCTACCTCAAATAACTGAGCAGAAATACCTCCTCCTTTTTTTTTTTTTTGTAAAATATTATGCCGCAGTATTAAGGTTTTTAAGTATGTAATTCTATGCCTGCAAGTTCAGGGCTCAGCAATACCAGATAAAGGAGATTAGTCAGCAGAGAACAAGTAGAAGTTAGCTATCGATTTTAACCAGTAGTAAACAAAACTCTGCTCTTTTCAAGCTCTTCCTAAGACATCAAAATAGGAAACGCAGCACTGCTGTGCCTAGAAAGACACCCAAAGGCTTTGCTTAGGATCAGCATTTCCCACAGGGCTGGATACTGCCTCAAAACCACTTGGTAACAATATTGTAAACTTAAACAAGTAACTGAACTAATGAAGCCAATTTTTTACTGATTTGTGTTTGAATTTGTTGCTAACTGGTAAGGTGTGAAACTTTATTGACACTTTCCATAGTGCTGACATGCCAATAACATCTTTCCTGTATGGACTAAACAACATCTAAAATGATGGCACTGAAGATCCACTAAAAGCATTTCCCCTTGTACAAGGGCCATTTTTTCCAAACTTGAAGGAAATTGCCATCTTTGAGATACCCAAGAGCTCTGTCATCTGTGTCAACTGTGATCAGACGAGCCTCGGTTCTTCAGGAAGTGAACTGAGAGTCCTAAAAACACAAATCTCTCCTCCTCTACACACCTGTATTTGCTCTAAACTACGACCAGTCAAGTCTGGTTTGTTCATCCCTCCCTTTTCTTTACAATCCTTCCGTTCAGATTTTTGCTCCTTCGAATACCTCTTCCTCCTCTAATTCTCAAATCAGTATTTACAGCACATTTCCTCCATACCAACCCTGGTGTTCTTCCTGCAGGCATTCTCCATAAAGTCACTGGACTTGAACAGTCGTTCCTGGATCTTGCAAGTTCCTTTATCCTAATTTTTGTCATTATTAAGAAATCTGCAGTTCCTATAAACCATATCAAAACCATACATCATTCTTTCTTCCATGTCTTACTGTTCTTGCCTTTTAAAATATGAGATACTTTACAATAGAGACCTATCATTTGTATGTTAAGAATTTTACATGAATAAGCAGCAATCTTTCCTCACATGAAAATACTTGCAGCAGAACAGTGCCAGGAATGCACATATGCTGCAAAGGCCCAGACAACTGAGTAAACCAGGTAGACAGAACAATTGCAGAAATCCGGTAAGTGATTCATCTTAAACTTACGAATCTACAAGTAATAGTTTATCTTTAAGCAGAGCCCTCCTGAAAGGTGGATCTTTCAAAAGAAATTCCTTCCCAGTCTATAAAGAAATCAGAAGGACAGAATGGTCACTGGTAAGCGTGATAGGTTACTGTAAATAAATTATTCTTGGAACATATCAATGTAACATTAAATGCATGTTAGCCTGTGCGCCTTAAAAGGAGTTTTTACAGTTGTGCAATTTAAACTAGAATAAAAATGAATTTTTCACTAAGTGGAATGTAACTGTTAGAAAACATAAAACTTCTCATTGGGAATCTATAGAAGCAAAACTGTAACATAGACTTAAGCAGCAGTAGAAAGCAAGGGCTTTCCAACAGTTTTGTTCCATCATGGGGCAAGCTATGTAATTTGTTAAGCTTTGTGGAGTATGACATGACTTGCGTTAGACATTGTAAGCATGACCAAAATCAGGACTTTTCAGCTTTAGAAAATGTCCACTCCAAAAATGGTATTTTGCTACAAACACGGTGGTGAAACCTGCTCTCTCGTTTTTACTCTGGTTCCTCAGCCACACTGCAAAGACAATACTCTCAGTTGCGGGGTGGCTAATAAGCCTGGGGATGGGGGGAAATAAACAAACAAAAACCCCCACAAAGGGCAAGAAGAGACAATACACAGCAAAAGGTAAAAAAAGACAAATGAACAAACACATAGGACAATAAAAGAAATTCTAAAAAGACAAAATACACACACAAGCTGGAAAAAAAGTAAAAGGTTAAATAAAAATAGATTCAAGCCAAGGACAGAAGAGAGCTGAAGACTTTAAATTCTAATGAGAAGAACTGATCCAAAAAGAAAAAGATCTGGTAATGAGACACTCAAAAACCTGATGATGAAAACACTAAAGAGAATCACCAGGACTGAAAGTAAGAACAGTATCAACCAAACAAAACCTGCAGTTAATTGCAATGCCATGGGAGAAAAAGCAATCTGTATTTCTAATTGCTCTTTGTAGCTGAAGGCATTATAAAGACAAAAGTAATCAAGTTTTTGATTCCAAGGAACCAATGAAGATAGAAACCGAAAGGACATCAATATAAATTAGCTAAAGGAAGAAGCAAAACAAAAAATACTCTTGGTTCAGGGTTTCTGAATAAGAAAACATACTTTTAAAGAACCTGCTAATTTGTGTCACTTTCCCACACTGAACTCACATTTCCACATAGTACCCTGAGAAGTCAGCTCCCAGTGACGTGCCTCATTCCACACATGCTGCATAGGTGGGAACTGCCCGAATGGCAGCAATAACAAAGCACAGGAAACAGGGACTCTAAAGGTACCAGGTGTCAAATTTTAGTCCCAATACCCTAATACTGTGGTAACCTACACTGTAATCTACCATCAATAATGATTTAATATTGCCATTCCTACCTTCTTGTCTTACCAGTTACTTAACTGCAGTTAACAACCCTCTAAAAAGATACACCATTTCATGTTGGACGGGAGCAGACTTCCCCAGTACGAGATGCTGCACATCTGACAGCTGTTTCCACCTTATCAACATCTCAGTTGATAAACTGAGTTGATAAACCCAGTTTTCACGTTCTTGTGGACCAGTTTCAGGCAGCACATGTTTAATCAAGAACACAACCTTCCTGCACACACGATAGACAACATTTCTGCAAGCTGGCCATATTACACCTATCAAGTTGTACACCTGTTAAACACCCAATATTTGAAATCTCTTCACAAGCTGTATGCTTGGAAGTCCTCACCATGAAAGACAATGGAAATTGCCTTATTTCAGGTGCTTCCCTGAACAGAAAACATTAATTTGCAACTCAGGAAGAGGAAGAATTCTGGGTACTCTTCATTTTATGCCTCTTTTCCATAAGCAATAAAAAGAAACTGCATGAAGGTTTCAATCCCTCCTCCTTTATGCCCTTAAACTGGTTCAGAAGCAAACAAGGGTACATACATACACAGGCTCAAAGACTCACCAGACACTACTTCATAAAATACTATGAAACATACTGCAATACACAATGGTTATGCCCCTAGAGCTTCTGCGCTTAAGTACCCTTTGGCTTTTTATAGTTAAGCACTAGTGTTCAAAGACTTCTTACTAGAAGCACACTCTAATACCAATGACAGCCTCCTTATTTTTCTAGCTGTAAAGCACACCTTGCCTTAATGCAGACTTCTCGCCAGTTCTAGTGGAAATAACATTTCTCAAGTAGTAAAGAAGGTCCTTCACTTAGCATGGTCCTTGTTGCTTTTATGTGCCTTTTCCATGTCACTTCCACTTACCAAGCGTGCATACTGGAATACATGTTAATGCAGATACACAATCAAACTGCATTCAGTTAGTAAGAATTCCTGAATCTGTAACTCAGATTAGCCAGGCCATCCCATTGGATGGATAAAGTATAAAAGCAATAGGAAACCACAGCTAACTCATCCTATTGATAGTGAGACTCCAAGTCCAAGAACCCAGAGGGACCTTCTGCCCTTTTGCATTCCATTAGTAAGAGACCTACAAGTAGAACCTGTACTCCCTCTCATGGCGGTTGCTTTCACCACATCTCACTCAAGTTTAAGAACCTCCACTGGTTTCAGATTCCCATTCTGCCCCTTGCCATCCCCAGCTGCTGTTGCCATTCAAACACTCTTACCAAAACTGAGGTCTTTTTAAGGGAAAGGGTGGGTTGTTGTCATTAACATAAGCCAGATGGCCTCTCATATTCCTTAAATTTCCTCAAGATCCACTAAACTACGTGAGCCTCTTCGTTCAGCCACAGGAAGGTCAGACCAAATTCTTTTGATCATTCTTACTAAACGCATCTGTTATAACAACTGGTTTTGAGAAAGATCATCCTTTATGTAGCTCCATTTTATGCATAACTTTCATTTGCAGGCTTGACAGGCTTTGAATAGTTTGTCTGTCGTTGTTGTCCCTGAAACCCAGCAACATACGTGCATATTTTTCTTCAGAATTTCAATTTGGAGTAAAAACATTCTTTATCAATAATATCATCCAGCAGCTCTTCCTTTTTAATATATTCCTTAACACAGGCAAACATTAGTAGTGTTTCATTTACTAAGGAGTAAATAGATGAAAAACAAACAGAAGAACCCCTCATTATTCTATTTTCAAGCCTCTTGTACCTTTGTCCAATGCTTTCTAAATCAAATGCTTATGGTGGATATAATTAACAATTTCTGCCTTCAAATGCTGAAAAGAGACCAGTAATGAAGATCAGATTACATTCACAGTGAAGTACACAACATTTACACAGATTCCATTGTTCTGGAGGAAATGTGAAGGCACAGGTATTATTAGTGCATTAATATTTGCTAAGAACCTCTGGTGAAGGGATTATTATTATCTACTTCAGTAATGTCGGATTTTCCTACTACACAGGAAATGAACAAAGGACAATAAAAGAATATGCATAATAGTAACTTGTAATGCTCTCTGCAGTCACTGTGTACAGAAAGGTAACCTCAGTTATCTGCTAACAGGACTGCTACAAGGTCATCTAGCAAGCCTGAAACCATCCCTTTTAGCTTATAAAAGGACACAAATATTTTCCTTTGAAAAAAGTCTCCAAGACCCATAAAAATAACAGTAGAGTAATAAATGCCAGGAGCTTGTGTGCTACTGGGTCAATAGAACAAAACACCCTTACAGAAGACATGCTCATCAGAGATAAAGGGCTTATGTTAGTACAATCTTCCACAGCCAATTCTTGCAAGATTCGCTGTGAAGTGTCTGCACCTTACTTGGAATTGGGCACAAAACCCAGTTTTGGCTATTTTTTCCATTGAAAATACAACTGGGAAAGGGAGAATAGTTACTCGAAAAATCTGAAAAAAAGAGGAGATAAGCACCAGCAACAAAGGACCCATTTTCTAGCTGTTACAATCACTAAACAAAGATAGGTTTGATGTGATTTCAGTTACTATGACTTACTGACACTCACATCTCCTTTGACATCTTAAAGATTACAGCAAATCCTTAAAAGGGAACCTTTTTCTTTGTTGATACCTGAAGTTCTGGAACAGCCTGTATGAACAGTTAACTCCAAAAGTTGCTCTGCAGATGAAAGAGATCACACGCTACTCTGTGCAACTAACAGATAAATGCTTAAGATGAAATGACCGCTTTGTAACATACTATCAACGGCTCCACACACAAATGTCTCAAAGATTCCAGTATGAAGCTGTCCCTCAAAGAATCTGTTTTTTTACTTGAGGACAGAAGTTACAGAACACTGTGCTATGAAGAATGGTTAAGACCAAAAATTGTAGGGTTAAAGACACTTTTTTTCCCTTAAGAACAATGACCTAGAACATACCATGGCATCACAAGCAAATTCAAGCAGCAAGTGTGTATATATGGATGTCCTCACCAACTGTATGAGTGTCCTGATCCTGATGACTTTCCCCCTTCAAGGCTGTCATTCTTTTTTGAGCATCAACCCACCATGGTTTGTACTTCAGAACATGCTGAACAGCTTCATCTTCAAACAAATCAGCTCTAGGGGAAAAATAAATAAAACAAACACCAAAACCAGTCCTATGCTATTTATTGCAGTTTATAGGGTATGTGAGTATATTTTAATGCATGCATAGAATACACCTGACTTGGCTCTAGGCTACTTTCCATACACTGCAAATACTTTAACATAAAAGCAGAAAATAATCATTATTACAAGCATAAACAATATTCTCCTATCTTACAATATCCCTTCCTTATTTCCTCCACCTTTCCTGAGCCACCCAGAAGCCTGGGAAATTGATGAGCTTGCAGCATGACACAAAGGTGAACAAATCTGACTTGTTCTGAGTGTATTAAAGGAAAACATTCCCAAGAGAAGAATTCTCAGACAATGTCACTGGCAGTGAACTGCATTTTATTTGGAAGCACTCCCACTTAAAAACTGCATCTGCTTTGGGAAGGGTATGCAGCTGAAGGTCAAAGATACGGTAGGGATGGGGATGGTATTCTAGGTAAACAAGGGCCTGCCTAGTGTAGCAAAGTGGAAAAAGAAGAGTTATGAATGAATGAATGAATTCTGGAAGAGAGATTACCTCCAGCTCAGCACAAAGCCACTGTGGTAAAAATGTCAATATAGTAATTCTGGGAGGATTTGTACTAAGTGATTCGAGTTCTAAGCCTCCTCTGATTTTAGCTTTTTCTTCACACCAAGCAATCACATAAATACTGAGAAGTAAAAAAAATAAAATGCAGGAAAATTCGTAATACCTTCCTAATCATCACACAAAACTTGTCCAGTCTACTGAACACAGACGTAATTTGCTTTACTCTCACACTGACAGATTTTTGTGTTCCCTTCCTTCAGTGTCTTTATAAAGTAACTTAAAGATATCAGCCAGTGTGGATTTTCCTCAGAGGCACAGAACTGAGTTTGCCACTGTTTCTCCCAGATCTGCCCTCATCGGATACACAGGAAAACAATTTTTGTTGAAGAAGGATTGGTATCATCTGTTCTGCAGCAACCAAACACAGCCATTAAACTAAATGTTTGTAGCTCATCTACCAAGCCAGAACACAGGGTCTAAGATGGAAATTTACAATTACTGCCAGCTGCATCACATTATAGGTTAGGAACTACTTCAGTTCTAGTGAAATGTTCTTCCAAGTGATGTTTCAAGAAGGCTTTTCTAAATTCTATGTGCTACAGAAATACATGCAGCTGCCTCTCAAACACCTGACAGGGGAAAAATTCCCAACTTGCCAAGATACCTTCTGAAACAAGTCAAAGTGTGTTAAGCCTACCTCTCCCTGACAAAACACAAGTACTAATTCTCCCTCCCAGGGACTATGCTCTTTTTCCACCAAATCAATCTTGCAGGAATCACTCTATATTAATAGAGCTCATGGCTTCACTTTAGTTTACTTATCTGGAAGTTTTTGAACCTAACTTGACCTGAAATTCTCAAACTTGAAAGGCATGTAGAATCACTTCCACCTTCATGTTCAAGGAATGAAGCAGAAAGGAACATGAAGTATTGGTTTGGAACTTTTCCTCATTCTGCTGTAAAGCTATCATTTCCAAAAGTGATCTTAAACTCAACCATTTATGAAAAGAAAAAGTGAGTCTATTTCAATTGAGGTACTTTTACTTGACCAGGTAAATACACTCACAGGTAATGATCAGGCTCGAACTTGGCAGCCTCAGCTGCCAGGCGCTTCCTCCTACGTTCATCTACAGGAGTTTGGTCTGGATCCTTAATGTCAATAACATCACTGAGTTCATCCTGCAAATGGAACAAAAATTATAGGACCAGGCCACATGTATCACATGCAAGATTTATTCAGTAAGAGTTTAGGAAGGATGCTTAACAGCATTACTACACTGAAATCCCTAGATGCTCTTCAATCTCCCCTTCAGATCTTCTAAATTCATGCTCCATTGTGCAAATAAAACATCAGAATTCCAAAGAAATTCAATTATTTGAAGCTCCTTAGAATTCATGATATTATGAAGTCTATTCAGGCTGTTCTACCATAAGGCAGCGGCTTATTTTGCATTATGATACAATCTGCAATGTTTAACAAAAGCACACAGAAACAAGATAAAACTCACGGATACTGTTTTTGTGACTTTTAAGATTAGTCTCACAATCTGAAGTGGCCATACATTAATTAATGGACAACTGCAGTACCATTTAAGCATCATTAATGGTACATTAATGCTGATGGAAAATGTACTTCTTCACGAATTTCATGGGAACAAACCAGTGTATACATCCTAGTAGCATGTAAACACATTCTCCATGAATAGTAATCCTTCTGCTTCAAACCCTGATAATACTACAATTCATGCAGTAAGTTAGAGTTACCTAATTAAGTTGCTTTAAGGAGCTACAACTTAAATTGCATTAAGAACATTACAGAAAATAATAATTTACTATTTTAATAAACACTCTGGATACTGCAACTATTATTACACTACCTACTATGCTACAGGTTGTAGATTAGCTTCAATCTATTCATGAATCAAACTGCAGAACACATAAAAGCAAAGTGACTGCATTTTAAAGCTTCCATCTTAACAATTAATCCACAAAAGCAAATTGCAATGCATCAGCATAACCCTCGTAAATCTCACAGATACCAGGTGGACAGACACCCTGAAAAGTGCACACTTCAAAAGTTGCTGTCTTGTAAGAAAAGTCTAAAATAAAAAGTAAAAAATTACCACCAATTTCACAATGGTAAGAAATGTTACTGCAACAACCATATAGATTAGCCAGCTTTCATGTGGTTGTTGGTTTTGGTTTGGTTTTGATTTCTCTTTAAAAGTTAATTAAAATTCATGGCATCTGAAATACACTGTACATTAATGTTAATCAAGTTTGAAGTCAGAACAGAAGACAGTACCAAATATAATGCAAAAGTGTTAAAGCAGACTCTTAACAGCCTGCAGACTGTTTGCAGCTTGTCAGAACTCTTCACCTGGCACGTGGCCTACTTCATAGAGGCCTTTCCCTGTGCATTCACAGGCCAGCTGAGCCATGCTGGTGATGGCAGCACACTTCCAGAGCCTGATTTCACTAAGGACCCCACTGAGCCCTTTTCTCCAGTGCTGAAATTATTGCAGAGACAGATCAGCCTCTTGACTTTGCTACACAATTAACTCAACCTCGACCACCCCCTACTTCTCAGAAACAAGGATTTGTCTGTACTACTACATGCAAAAGCAGAGTATTCTCAGTAACAGAATGGGATAATAGGAAACAGTTACCTAGTGATTCCCTCCTGACTACAGAATAAGTCAGGAAACCTGCCCAACAAGAAAGTTACCCAGTACTTTTATGAGAGGAAAAGGCAAAAATGCATCTACCTGCAGACGCTGAAACACCCCTGACCGCAAGTTCCCAAAGCCATAAGGGCACTGTAGTGGTAGAGTGCTTTCTGCACCATCTTTGAAAGGGGTCTGCTCTATTTCCCAGTCAAATTCTTCTTCCTCCTCCTCAGACAACTCAGCAGAGGCAGCTGTATATATTGTACAATCAAAGAAGGAAAATTATTACTCAGAAAGTACGTATGTTTTAACAGAAAGGCAAACACTGGTAATACAATAAGCCTTCTTCATTTTACTGCACCTTCTAAGAAATCTTATACAACACTGGGTCACACAGGCAGATGCTCACATCAGTAATCCACAGGTTCCACTCCAGATTCTCCAACTTTCAAAAACAAAAACCAGAAACACTGAAGTTTTTAACTATACACCCTCAGACTGAAATAACTGTTCCCCTGATTTCAGCAAGATCAAAACTTGATGCCGAAAGAACACTAACCAGAAGCAAAGCCATGTTATCAACAATTTAAGAAAAGCATTAAAAAATTAACCACAGATAAACATTCTTGTCTGTTAAATACTGATGTTAACCAAGTCATCCACTAGAACCTGCAGTTCTAATTAGGCTCTACCATTTGAGCTACAGGTCCAGTTGTGCTAGTGTGTAGAAAGCAGAAGACTCAACTGCGTATGGTGGATACAGCCACTAGAGGGGTACAACGATCTACAGAGGATGAGCATAAGCTAAGCACATGTTGGAGAAATGTAAACATAACTAAGATAACACATATATCACCTACAATACTTCTGTTTCTAGACTTACTCATACTTTCAGATTCGTTCACAGTCTTCTCATTCCTTGGACTAGACACTAACAGAAATACTGTAGTTTTCTACATGTATCACTAAGTAGTTTATAACTATTTCGTTACATATATGCATCACTAGTACAAATAGGTTTTGTCATACCTATCTCTTCTACTAAAGGTTTTGCTGATCTTAATTTCTTTGGTGCTAAAAGAGATGTCAGCATGTCCAGTCCCTCAAAATACTGGCCAGGGATCTCCTTCGGTAACCGAATTGTGAAAGTTCCTTAAAGAAAAGTCAGAAAATAGTTATTGCATGAAAATATCCTAAACAAAGAGAAATGTGCATTTTCCTCTGATGAAAGACTCACAGCAATCAGGACACATGTAGGTAATATTTTGTTATGCATCTATTTCTGTGCACAATTTTAATCTTAGTTCACAAGTTTCACAAAAAACAAAGATTTTAAAGTAAGAAAGAAAATGTTTAATGAGTTGTGGTCTCTTGACTCACTTTATATAAACACAAAACAACAGAATACAAGCTTCATTTTATTTTTAATCCTTCCATCAATCAAGCAATCAATACAGTATCATAGGAAACTATATTCAGCAATCTACTGTTGCAGTCAAGCATGTAATAAAGACTTCTATTACATGCTTTTTTTTATAATTTGCAAGCAGCAAATTATAGGTTTTATTGGGGGGGGTTCACCAATTTTCACCTAATTCCAGAAGGTATGTATTTGATTCCAGAAATACCTTCCACCTTGAAGCGTGGAGAAAGGCTAACGCCTTCTCTCTCAGGACATAGCCAAGGGACTGCCTCAGGATTATCTCATTTCTACTCAGCACTACCCGACTTCTTTGCAGATTTACTAGACTAATGATCTTAGTACAGGAACATGTCTGGCCCTCACAGGGCTTCAGAAGGACATATATATAATTTTTTCATTATTAGGACAGTTCTGATCACATCCTTACAGCTTAAGGATAGCCTGAGTACATACAATAAAACCTGAGCAAGATTTTTTCATACTAAATAACACAGGAGAAACTTTACATTTATTTACAGTATTGTATACCTCACTAAAGTTACATGTAATTCCAGTGCAAAGGATAAATTATTGGAGAGTTAGTCACATTTTTAATGACATATATAGTAATAACATCAATGAATACCTTTGTCTGTATTATAAGATGCTTTTTCTCTGCCATCTTCTACAATTCTTCCAGGAAGTGTCAACCTACAAGCAAAACATGAAACGCATCACTGAATGCCAGACTAATTCTACAACTTAATGTCTCAGCCTATAAAAATGTAAGGCAAATTCCAAAAGCATCACAAACAACTTAACTACATGACTTCTTTCAATAGTAATGGAAGTCGAACAATTAAATCCCCATTTACTTTAAAATCTGTTTCCCTAAGTATTGGCACAAGAGATCAGCATCTAAGACATTTGTGACTCCTGGTTCCCAGCCTGGGTGAGGTTACAACCACTACAGAGATGACACCCTTTGCATTACATGCAACACTTGCAGGATTCTGCAATTTAACAACTCTAAGATAACCCACAGTGACAGGATGTAAGAACTCTCAAGAGCTCTTGTACTGTTTATTTAGAATAACTAAGTAACTCATTCTACCAATCCACTAAAATCCCTTGTGGTCTACTAATGTATATAGCGGAAGCATGTCCAAGAATACAGGAAACAGAAAATAAGAAAGGTTAATAGCTTGTCATGCCAAAGGTTCTCTTAACACTCTCACACTGAGATTACCTCTTCTTCTTTTTCTAGAGAGTAGTGGGGAGTCTTCTATCTAGAGAAAAGATACAGCTGGAAGCTCACTTCCTACTGCCTCTACTCACATGCCTTTTCTCTTATGTTATTAAGAGTGCATAAAAATCCATTCTTCACCAAATATACTGTATCTCGCTCTCAACAGGCAAAATACATATTTGCTCTACACATCTTCTTACATCCAGAATTGTCTTGCCATTCCACAATTAATCCTAGAATCACAGAGTGGTTTGGGTTGGAAAGAACCTTAAGATTACCCAGTTCCAACCCTATGCCATGTGCAGGGACACCTTACACTGGACCATGTTGCCCAAGGCTCTGTCCAACCTGGCCTTGAACACTGCCAGGGATGGAGCATTTACCACTTCTTTGGGCAGCCTGTTCCAGTGCCTCACCACCCTCACAGTAAAGAATTTCTACTCTTTAATAATAATCTATTGTAAAGTAAATTTATAAAAGTATCTCTTTAAACTCCCTTTAACATGACTTAATGCCTAACAATGAAGTGGCCAGATCCATAAAAACAATTCTTTCCATGAAATGGGCTTTCTGCAGTTGACAGTGTAAAAGCTGCAGATGAGGAATGTTCTGAAAGGACCAAAATGAAGTTCATTCTCTACTGACTTAATTCATAAAGTTCAATTTTTGTTTAAATCCTTCCACTACTTGCCTGAGGAAGTACGGCTTAGCATAAAATTTAAAATCTTCCCCTTCAAAATACACGTCGAACTCTGAAGCTCTGGCATAAGGCACTTTGATTACTATTTTAAGAAAGTCAGGATCCTGGGTCAGTTCAAAAGCTGGAGTTATCATGACGAATCCAGCAGGAGAAGCAATCACCAGTCAAGAGGCTCTATCAAAACAGGATAACAAGAAAATATTACTGTAGTTTCCAATTTATGAGAGCAAATGCTGTCTCTTCAAAATTCTGTAAGAGGAACATTTCAGATTCTAACACAATTTTCTTCTATGAGCTGAAGAAGAATATGCTCACAACAGCAGCAACAACAAAACAAAGAAGTTATCAAGAATGTGAAGGTACTACCTCTCTGCTCCTTAATGAAACAACTGAATGTAAATGAATGCAAACACTTGGACCACAGGAAAGCACCTACTACATGCCATATAAAACCCCTATATTCAGTCTTGGAACTGGTCAGCTTTTTGTAACTGTGTTTTATAATTATATTAAATGCACAGTAAATTAAACATGCTCCTTTGCAGCAGGCTTATGACAAGAGCTTAAACATGAACAGGTGACACACTCAGGACGTGCAGTGTGAACATGCTTATTATTTTTACCAGTTTGCAGGGGTTTCACAAATCTGAAAAAGCATCCTAAAAAACTCACATTCCTTCTGAATATTCAGTCAAAGAAAACATAACACAGTGGCTGTAATGGAATTAAATTCCCTAGAGGATATCTGCCATCTCCTTCACCAACTGTTTTTTAAGGACAGTTTATGATGAACATCCATCAGAACCACACATATGTACATACATGGGCATGTGCATGTATTTAGCATGAGAGAAGAAACTTACACAGTACCACTCACCTGATACACAGCTTGTCTGACCCTTCAATAGCTTCTAAATGCAAGACAATTCCTGAGGTTTAACTTAGATTGCAGCTGGGGACAGGCAGAGAGTTAAAAAGAATCACACACCTTTGAAAACTGCAAAGTACCTTTTTAAGACAAGAATATTTCTACCAAAAAATGCAAAACGTAACTATTATCTGGGAAAGAGCTAGTTTCCACTGACTTTCACAGTTATCTTTACTAAACATATCCCCATCCAGACAATCTCACGACAGCTAAATTAACAAACTGCACTTTTTTTTTTCCTACAGGTAATCTACCTCATTTCACAAGTATGAAAAAATCAAGCTCCCATTTCACCCTATCACTTGATTCCATGGCAATATTCCCACCCTTCCCCGGCTAAGAAGCTGCCATGTGTTTACTGAGTTGTAACTACATAGGAAATACCTGGCCTGAAAAACACCTGATGTACATTTCTGGGGACTTTCTTCTCTATTCAAACACCACACTCTGGCCAACGAGATGGGATAAGAAGTAACAAACCCCCATTTAGACCCTTCAAGGATGATGTGCCAGCCTGCATGCTTATTTTCCCACAGCTGTTCCCGATTCCCGGACACTAATTAATGATCCCAAACTAATCTGGAAGTTCCCACACAGATCTCAAGTATTTCACAGACCTCAGCTTAAGAACCGCTGAGATCCACCCCACAACATTACGAGATTCAACCCCCAGCTGCACTTCCCACATCCTAAAATCAGGTATCCCGAAATAATTAAGCTTCTCAGCCTTTTACTAGAGAAAAGTAACAGCAAATAGAACTAAAGAGCTTCTGTTGCAGCTAGGGGCTGACAGGAAAAGGGACAAACGCTCTACTTTCCCTCAAAGGCACCAGGGCAAGGCACAATATGACCCGCTGCCCGGTAAACTGGGTCAAACGCCGGCTTTCCAGCCGCACCGGG